AAAACCAATCCCCCAGAACACCATAGAACACCAGGATAAAGAAATAAAGCAACATAATTATTAAGGCCTTGAAGTTATCAGTAAAATTCCCGTTTAAAGCCCACCCAACATTTCTCCAGTAAAAAAACATAACAAAAGAAACAGAGTTAAGCCAACAACTGCAGCAACCAACACTGAAGAAGAGGTGGTGATCAAAAAACCAGAACAGGGTAACCAAGAGATTGAGCTTAATGTAAATATCAAAATTGGTTATATAAAGATCAGAATGACAATTAAGGAATTCTCAAACAGAATATCTAACAAAAATTGTATAAAAAGGATTCCCAGAATGCAACGAATCAACAACAGTGTGAATTAACACAAAACCCTACTCATACCAGACAAAATAGGCACCAAAATAAGGCAAGAACAGACTCCAAAAACCCAACCTAAACATTGAACACAATAAGGGAATAGTAACATAGAATAAAAAGGAACCAGATAACAGAGAACCAGCATAACAACTCATAAAGTAAGTAAAGAACCAAAAAAAAAAAAAAACAAACAAACAACTAAAGGTGTCTGATATAAGGCAAAGCAGTTTTGTCAAGATTAATCATGCCTTTAAGAGCAGGATGTAAAGCATTAATGTTTAAATCCTGACTGTTATCCAACAAACAGCCCCAATTGGCTAACCAATCTGCACAAGCATTATCCTCACGATAAATATGAGAAATATTGTAATTGACAGAAGATAATAACTGTTTAATCTTCCTAATGAGATAGAAATTATTAGGATTTCCAATCACCTGATCGTTAATGATTTGGACAACAAGCTGGGCATCCACCTCAATCCAGATGAAATTAAAACCCATAGTAGTACAGATTTCGATACCATAAGAAAGAGCATTGAGTTCAGCAGTAATGACCAAGCAGTTAAAGAAAGGACCAGCAAAAGCCGCAAGAGCATTGCCAAAATGATCCCGAATGATTCCTCCCATACTCGGACAATTATTTTTAACAGAGCCATCAGAATTTAATTTAACATAAGGATAAGTCGGTTTGACCCAGAAACAGTTTTATCAAAACCAGTTAAAAACGTATCACCCAGATGAATGCCAATAGCAGCAGCAAAACCTTTACAATTGCTAAAATGCTTGGCCAAAAGGAGTTTACAAGAGAAAATATGTCTAACTTTGCAATTAATAGCAGAAATAATACCATCAACATTCATCTTAATACCATTATATTTCGCTTCGTTTCTAGCCTTCCAGATGTGC